AGTGGCAAACAGTGATGAAAACAAACCAGCACATTTTGCAAACAAAAGCAGCACATTTTTATATGTAGATGAAGGCACAGAAGGAAGAACAAAATCAATTGTAGTTTAGGTTGTACATCAAAGGAAATAAGTTGACTTCTATTTCATTCAATTATCATGGGTTTCTCACTTTATGATTCATACAATATCTTGATTTGAAAGGTACCCATAATGATCACCAAGTCCAACTCCCTGCTCCTCATAGGACTGCCTAAAACTAAACTCTATGATTAAGAGTGTCATCCAGATGCTCCTTGAACTCAAAAAGACAACTTACAATGAGTTCTCAGAATAAGTCTTTGTATCCAGGATTACACTCTGGGTGCAGCAGAATGTAATCTGTTTCAAGATTTCAAGCTACGACAACTGTTTCAAATGTTACAGATTAATATTATTAAGTTTTGTTTTAACTAATTTAATTAAGAAGAAAATGAAACAGATTTACATTTACATCTACGGAATCCTTCAGTGCTTTGACACCATCACGGACTCAAATCTACAGAAATAAAATACAGTTCATTGGTGGTTTTCAATGAGACTGAAAATTCCCCATTAACAACAGGCAGAGGAATTTCTTTCTTGGAAAGCATTGGGGGCCATTAATGATTCCAAACACTGAACAAATTCAGAAGTAAACCACTCAGCTACTCTGTGTTTTTTTTCACCTCAGCAGTTATTTTCATTATTTGCACACCCTGCTTTGAAAGCAGAATGAGAGAGATTACAGGAAAAAACACATCTTAAACTAAATTAACTGGAACCAACATTTTGGACTTTTTATTTCTTGGATTCTAACAGCATGAACAGAAGGGTCTGTAAAAGAAAACTCTGTCTTTCAAAGCTTTATACAAATAAAGATAATCAATTAAATTTTACATTACAAAGCAAGTTTCCAAGAGCCTATAGTTCTGCAAGTTCAAACATAAAATGCATAGTAGAGTCTGAAAATCAGAGTGTAAACCTAGAGCTAAAGTGAAGCACAATAATCACAATATTGTACTTTCAGAGTCTCATCTGAATAAAGAAGCCTATCCATTCTCCCCAGCTCTCAAGCGGAATCTTATCTATTTAGCACAACAGACTAACAAATAATCATCTTACCCAAGCTCCTTAAAAATTTTGGGAATTTCCTCTTCAAATTTTGAGTCAGGCAGTTCATAAGAAGGGCAGAGAAACCCATAGATAAAAGTGAAGATTTTTAAAAAGTCCTTAACCGATGGAGACTGTAGTGATTTCATGGAAACATTATGGGCATAACCATTCTCAACCAGAAACTACAAAAAAGAAACATGGCATATTAGTCACTAAATAGAACCTGAAGTTGAAACCAAGGAAGTAAGTATTTTTATTAGCATATTCTATGACTAAACATTCAGAATAAGTTAATGTTACCTCACAAAGCTGCTTGATACATTGTTGGATGAATGCCTTTTCTTGGAGTGGCCTGGGATCCTTTATCTTTTCTGTACCGAACACACCGTACTGACTGTTGCGTGACCCTCCAGTCACACTAGCTCTAAGGACAAACAGTAAATACAGGACAATAAATATAAAAGAGAAACTCTCTTAATGTTTAAGTCACTAAAATTGCTATTTTTATGTTTCCTTTGCATTTTTTATGCAAAGTGATACCTGAAGTTCTCCGTATTTCAGATGATTGGAAAAACATCATCAACTTGGAAACCACAATGCACATGCACAACAAAGGGATTACTGAATCCTAGATGAATATTTTCTTCATTTTATTGAAAGAAATAATTTTTTTGGAGCAAAAAATACTCCAAAGATGAAGATAAAATGACGTAGGTGGCTGAAAATAAAGATTAAAATATTTAAAAGAAATATTTAAAAGGAATAGACCCCTGCAACAGTGGGGTCTTATGAAAGAAGACACCTGCAAGACATCCAAACACAGAAAATTGTGAACTAAGCAGAAAGATTATAGAATTTTAGAAGGTTTGTATCTTAGAGAGAAGAAACCAAGGCAGAGTGTACTGGAGATGTCATTCTTCCTTGAACAGGAAAGTGTATTGAGGTGCTCAGAAGGTCTGTCATGCATATCATTCCCAAGAGAAAAAACAGCTCCCAAAGCGACTCTTACTCCACAGCATTATTGCTTAGTGACCAAAGAGTGGAGTAAGGCAGACCTGAAGGTCTCCTGGCCTCAGATAATTATTCACTATAGTAAAAAATGTGTCAAGAGAAAAAAATGACAAAATTATGTGGGAGCATTATTGTTTTAATTTACAGAGCAGAGAATGAAAGTTATCAATACCTCTTCCCAAAAATGCTGATTTTTCTTTCTGAAGTTGCAGATGTAGGTTTGCTCATGCTCAGCTTCCCAAAGGTACCTTTGTCCATCCTGAGGAATAGCGAGAAGGATTCAAGTGACTATTTCTACCATCTCACCTTTTGCTCATGCAAGAACTATAAACACACTTGTATAAGCCTAAGCACCTTCATCGCACAGCATCTTAGAAAAGTCAACCAATTTTAATGCATTATTTGTCCATTATTAAAACTACTTCTGCAAGAAGATTTATAAGTACACATTTTCTATACAGAGGCACCAAGCCACCACCTAACAAGTATGTTAGAAAATGTGTTACTATTTGAAATGTGTCACAGGTACACAACAAGATTAAAGGAAGTCTTTTTGCAGAACTGGAGCACTTGTGCAAACATTCTTGGCTGCAAGGAGCTTTCTTCTCACTGTTTCCAATTTTTGCCCCAGTTACTACTCACACACTCAAATACACTACACTAAATCTCTTCAGAATTAGTTTTATGTAGCTATTCTTGGCAAGATGATTAGCAACACTTACATCTGAGGTGTTTGAAGACCCATCTTGTTGTTGTCCTGCACTCTCAGTGCCATCATAGATTGCCGACCGCTGCTTCTAGTGATCTTTGAGCTTCGTCTCATTGTGACTGAACTGTAAATCACAATCCCTCAGTATCAGAAAATCCAGGATCTAAGAGTATTTGTCTTTTTAAACTCCACAATGATTTTCTTAAGGATCAGAATAAGCAAGTAGAACTGTACATTAGATCAAAGTGTGATGAAGTTTCTAGAAATACTGGATTCTCTTTAAAAAAAAAGAAAAAAAGAAAAAAAGTGATTATGTTAGACTCCAGAAATACATAGGAGCAGCCACAGTCATTTAAATCAATTATTTTATTGATGAAAGTGTCAGTGCTTGTTCCAAACCTACTATTTTGCCTTTCTTTACATCTGGGCATTTCTAACCTACAAGTTCCACAAGCAAAAAGGCTTGAGAAATTTTTTAGTTCAGTCAGCTACACTACCATGACTACTGTTTCCAGCTCTTCAGCACTTCATCTACTCCTGAACTGCTAATTCTGAGCCTGCTTATTAATTTTGCAAAAGATCTTGCAGTATCATAGCATAATAACTGGAAAACCTATTCTGAGATAATATTATGGCTCTCTTCAGACTACACACACAAAATATAAATCAAACTGGAATATTGATACCACTGTCCCCAAGGTGACATTAAGTGGGAATCTGAAGTAAACAGAATTAACTCTGGAAAAAACCCACACACTTTCACCCTCTAGAGAGGATCTGTTTTATTTGTGGGATGGCCTTAAGTGACCAAATTAAAACTAATCAAAAAAACCTCCACTACAAACATTACCAAAACAAATTATCAATATAAACTGTGTTTCATTTCGCTTCTAGTTCCACTGCTCACAAACCATGGTAGAGGTTTAGCTCAGGCCCAGTTCATACGGTAGCGTATCCACGACTTCACTGTCTCTGGGGAAGAAGCTGCATTATTCAATCACTTTAACAGTGACCTAACCGCAGACAGATTGTTTTTACAAATACACCAAGTGACTAGTTTCCCAAATCACAGACTCAATGAGGTTGGAAAAGACCTTTGAGATCATCAAGTCCAGCCTATCAACTAGGCCATCCTGTCAACTAGACTGCAGCACTAAGTGCCACGTCCAGTCTTTTCCTGAACACCTCTAGGGATGGTGACTCCACCACCTCTCTGGACAATCCCTTCCAGTGTCTAGTCACCCTTTCTGTAAAGGAATTCCTCCTGGTGTCCAACCTAAATCTCCCTCAGCACAGCTTGAGGCCGTGCCCTCTCCTCCTGTCGCTGGTTGCCTGGGAGAAGAGCCCGACCCCACCTGCCTATAACCTCCTTTCAGGCAGTTGTAGAGAACGATAAGGTCCCCCGCAAGCCGCCTTTTCTCCAGGCTAAACAACCCCACCTTCCTCAGCCGCTCCTCATCAGAACTGTGCTCCAGACCCTTCACCAGCTTCGTTGCCCTTCTCTGGACTCGCTCCGGCACCTCAATGTCCTTCCTGAATTGACGGGCCCAGAACTGGACACAGCACTCAAGGTGCGGCCTCACCAGTGCCGAGTACAGAGGAACAACCACTTCTCTAGTCCTGCTGGCCACACTATTCCTAATACAACCCAGGATGCCAGAAGAGCAGAGTTCGAGCAGAGATTTAAGAGCAGAATTTGCTGCAGCCAACACGCCAGCGGGGAATAAAAGGGGAGGGAGCGCGGCAGAGCTGGGCGCAGCTCCCCCGCTCGCCCTGACAGCGCGTCTAAACCGTACCGAAGGCAACCAGGGCAGCCAGCGCAGTACTCGCCACCACCTCACGGACACCGGCCCCGGGGCGGCAACGGTGAGGGCGGCGGCGGCAACGGCGTTGTTGTTGCTGGCGCCCTCCCTCCCTCCCCCTCTCAGAAGGAAAGGCCCGCACGGCGGAGAGGCCCGCACGGCGGAGAGGCCCGCACGGCGGAGAGGCCCGCACGGCGGAGAGGCCCGTCCCAGCCGTTACCTCCAGCACCGCCGCCTTCCTCCTCCTCCGCTCAAATTCAAATCCGCCCGCCCACTACGTCACGCAGCGGCTCGTCACAAGGAATTGCGTCACGGCGGAGCGGGGGGATAAGGGGAGAAGGGAGGGGAGGATCTTGGGAAGGGCGCAGGGCCATGGCCGTGCAGCAAGATGGCGGCGCCCACGGTGAGGGTGTGAGGCGCTGCCGCGCCAGGGAGAGCTCTGGGGCTTTTTTTTCCAGCCGCAGCGAGTTCTTCTGGGGAAAAATCCGAGCTTTCTGCCCTTGTGTGCCTCCGGGGGCGGGCGGGCATCGGCACCGGGCTTCAGCAGCGCTGGTGCCGCCGCTGCTTCTGTGCCTGTGTTACTGCTCCCGAGCGCTGTCACTGTCGTGTGTGTGGGTATGTGTACACGTGTACATGTATGTGTGCGTATATAGCGCATATATCCGTATATCCATATGTGTGTATGCGTGCTGCGTATATATATATGCCCTAGTCATGTAGTCATAGACATGATCACAGTGCCACAGTGCTATTTTCCAGCTTGTTGAAGGAACTGCCGTAGAGTAAATGCGTGCTGCATAAAAGTGTAAAAACTTATATAAAACTTGCTTACTGTTAAAACAAAAAACATTATAGGGATGAAGCTAAAATAGGGGTGCACAGGGAAAACAACTGAAGTGAGAAGGTTCTACAGCATGTCCTGTGTGCACGTGGAAATGTCCACCTGAAGGTATGTTCTACTTTATTAAAACAGTGATAGTTCTGAAAAGCGAATTCTTATAAAAATCCCCACAGGAGGAGTTTACTCCAGGAAATGTGTATAGTTGATGAAAGCTGCAGTTCCAGGAAGTTGATTTTTTCCTCCTGAGAAGGGAAGTTATGATGTCCGTGGTACATCGTCTGACAGTGGGATGGCTTGTGGATCATCTCTCTTTCATCAACCAGTGTGGCTATGAGATCTGTGACTCCTTTGCATGCCCTGGTGGTGTCACTCTCAATACTTCTGTCACGTCTACTGAAGACTGTCATGGTTCTTCTACCTTTGTTGCCACCTCCTCATCAAGCAGTGGTCCTACTCATAGCCCTGAGAACGCCATAGAAACAGAAGGTAAAACAGCAAAAATGAGATATGTGTTTCGAGAGGAGTTCTTTGACATTTCTAAGCCCCATATAGTTGCACCTCCTGAGGAGCAGCTATGTCAGGGGTGCCCTGAGATGAGTCTGACAGAAATAAAGGTCAGCAGTAACAGAGAGGAACGCCAGGAAGGAACAAAGAGTGGTGTTGAAGATTCTGTTGCCAGTGCTATGAAGGTATGTTCTCTGTCATACAGTAAACTACAGTAATCCTGTGATAATTTACTATTTAACATTGTTTTGCATACCTGAGTCTTCTGAGGTTGTGCAGAAGAGCAGGAACTTTTACATCATGTATTTTCAAGATGCACAGAAATTGTAAGCATTTATGAGGATATTCTTATGTTCCGTATGTCAGTAATGTGCATTTTGTGACTCAAAAGCTCACCAAATCTTCTGACATTGGTGGTAGGCACTTGAGCTCCAGCTGTGGTTGCTGTCAAGACTGTGCATATCAGCAAGATGGGAAGGAGAATAGGAATTAACTTTCAGTATTGTTCATTACTGTTTCTTATGTACAAAAGGAAATAAGAATTGTAGGTCTAAAACAACAAATGTGATCAATGAAATGTAGTTAATTTTCTTTTATTGGTAAACTACGCTTGGCAGCTGAAACTTCTAGTGTGGGCCCAAAGGAAGCACAAGCACCAACTGTGGCATGCACTAGGTATCTTCAGATCCCAGTGACATGAGTAACAACACAGCTTTAAGTGTATGTACCTTGAGAATGCCTACCACAGCCTAGATCTTTTTGCTTATTTGACTTGTATTTGTGATGGAAAAAGAAAGAGATGTAAAGTTTCTTCTGCTTTTAAAAGAGTTAATTGGTAATTCAGGTATGTTTGATTTTTTTTTTTCCTTTCCTCACAGAGTAATATGGATTTTTTTTTTTTTCTTTGCTTGCTCATTTTGCAGAAACGTAAAAGGAAATGTTTATTCAACCAAGGTGAACTGGATGCTTTGGAATACCATTCAAAGGTAAGTTGGAAAAAAAGTATATTTTACGAGTACATGATACCTGATAGGCATGTACAGAGTGCAGGGCATGGTTGCAAAAAAGTTCTGTTCCTGTAGCTTGTTCCATTAGTGGGAAGGTCAGTCTCTCCAGTCTTAAGTGAAAAGTGCTTACAGAGAAGATCTTCTTTGTAGACACATGTGAAATTGCATTTGAGATATTTCAAAGAGCTGGAAACTGCATTGACAAACTTTCTTTTACTGTTATGGATAACTAAATACTATACTGTGATGAGTTGAGTATTAGTTGGTCAGGAAGTGACTGATTTGAAATAAACTGTAACCTTTTCTGAAGATCAGCTCATCAGGGCACTGTGCTGAAGTTATTCAAAGCTTCTTTTGACCAAATATGCTCCAAAATATCTCATTCTGCAAATGAGAAAGATTTTTTTTTTTTTCTCTAACCTTTTATATTGTCATACTAAAGCATTATGAATGAATTGGAATTCAAGTCTATAGGCTTATGTCAGTAATGTACTGGTGAAGTTACAACTGAATTACACTGAAGCATTTTTGGTGAATATGTAAAAAGACACAGTTTGGGAAAACCTGTGATCCTGGCTAGCCTCTGATACCATTAACAGATTAGGAAGTATTGGGTTTTTACTGTGTTTGTGTTGTTAAAGGTTATAGCTCTGCAAGTCAACTCAGATTATTTTGTGATTGTACTGTGCATCAGTTGTTTCTCTTGGGTGGTATTTCTCTCTCTCCTTGTTTTTAATAATCATAATAATTAATTTTGTTTCAGTTATTAAACTGATCTTATCTCAGCCCAAGGTTTTGTTTTTTTTTCTCCTGCTCACCACGGAATGGGGTTTGTGGAGTGTGAGTGAACAGCTGAGTGATGCTTGGTTGCCAGCTGGTGTTAGACCATGATACACAGCCTTATCATCATGCCCTTGTTGCTTTTGAGCCAATGTTCTCTGTAACTGGCAAGGATCATTTTCCCTGCCTGCAGATTGAAGAATGTTTTGATTTCGGTTACATTCCCTAAGCAAGTAGATGCTTGAAAGATCGTTTCTTTTTTCCCTTGTTTCTTTATGACAATACAGGTCAGGAAGCTGATTTGGGAAGGCACTTTGCGTTTAGTCCAAGAAGGACTCAAAAGTGGTTTTCTTCACCAAAGGACTGCAGAACTCAGTTGCAGGAAGAATAATGTTCCTGTTGTCTGTGGGTTGGCTGAATTATGTGAAATGGCAAAGCAGTTTCCAGCTGTGAATGAAGGTGACCATCAGGCTGTGTATGTGCTAGAGGATGAAACCTCCAGTCCAGAGCAGGACCTGCTTTCGTGTGTTGCAGAAAACACCTCAAACCATGCGAAGATAATTGTGTTAATGGGGCAGAAGTACTTGGTGCCACCAAAAAGCAGCTTCCTTTTATCTGATATTTCATGTTTACAGCCCCTGCTGAACTGTAAGTATCTTTAGGTGTTAGAATTTACTCTTTCTCTCCTGCCTGAAAAGAGCAGTTAATGTCAAGATGAATAGTAGCTCAGTGAACAGATTTTAATATACAGTATCACACTGATAGGAAATGCTGCTGCAGGCTTTTAAAGTGGTATTTCTAACTTTCTGCAAATAGTTGAGGGTTTTCAAAGGAATCTTGAGTGGTTAGGAGATCGTGTCATGGGGTTATTGTTTGTCTCCAGGAGACTTCTTTAAAAATTTCAGCCAAAATACAACAGTTTGTAAGCATGTTCTGAGCCACTGTCAGCTCAGAAGTCATGTAAATGCATTAGGTGGGGACTAGCTATGCTGCTGGATCCCTGTCCCACAGTATGAGGCTTTAATGTAGCTAAGTCCATGCTGCTGTGAGAGTGGTGGTCCTGCTGAATTGATTTTTAGCTAGATTAAACCATGGGAGAGGGATAAGATTACACACCTTAAAACAAACGTTCCCTTACAGACTCATCCTATGCAGTGGCAGGGTCTTTTTTAGATTGGTGTAAACTGACTGTGGAACAAAGCCCAGTGTCCCCCTGGGAAGATAACAGTTGGAGAGGCTGCTCCACCCAACTGGAAGGGAGCACCACTTTAGCCAGACCAGGAGTAGCAAGCATGAGTTGATGTCTCAGCTGCTACATTTCACAGGTGAGAGTATTGGCTTAAGCCAAATTCAGTGACTGGGAAATGGTGGGATTTTATAATAACTTCTCTGTAAAAGTGAATCAAAACTTTAAGCTGACAGCATGCACCAGTCTTCACTGTGCTTCACCATTCCATCAGCTTTCAAATTGACTTTCATTATTATTACTATTATTATTAATATCAGTAGCAGCTAAGCTTTGTCAGACAGTCTTACAGAAAAGATGTTGCCTGTGAACAGGCCCCTGTTTTGCACTTTTGTTTGTTTGTTCCTGTTTATTTTTTTAATAGGAAGGCATGCAGGAGGTAGGATCTTAGTATCCAAGAAGTCCAGAATTTAACCGGTTAGCTACAGTTTGCAGCTGTAGGAAAGAGGGAAGATCATTCTCACTATGCAAAGCTACGCATATAAGAAAGCATGTTTTGATTTTTCAAGAGGTCAGAGAGCAGTCCAGAAAATCTGAGCAAATTCTTTATTGAAATAAGCAACAGTGAGTGTTAATATAATGCCAGTTATTAGATTTTTTTTTTTTTTTTAGAGGAAGTCTACTGTCCATTTTAATTTCTGTTTTTCTTCTTCCCTTTCACCTGCAAAAAGAGAAGTAATTCTTGCTGGTCAAGTAATTCGGCAAGTAATTCTTGCTGTAAGGTTACTACATCCAATCCTAAGGGAAAAAGATATACTAAGCACATGTAATGAACATCAAATACTGGTCTGTTGTTCTTACCATCAGACTCAATGAAAGGACAAATATGTTCTCTGGAAAAAATAAAATTGGAGAGTCCTGTTTTTTCATGGATGTGCCCTGTATATTCTCTCCTCCAACTGAAGTAAACTCAGCTTCTCCCATGAAAACTCTTTCAGTTCTATTCTTCTTGTCCATTATTTGCATTTCATACACTGGATCTAGCTATCTTGTCTCTCTTTACCTCCAGTAGTGCAATACACAGTTTTCCAGGGCTTCCTTGAAGCTTTGTATGTCCCTGTTGGCCTGCTGAAAGATCAAACAGAAGAGGAATCTTGTGTTCAGGGCTTCAGCTTTTCACTCAGCTGGGTACCTTATTACTTACTTTCTGGTAGGAAATTGAAGAAATTGTCGTTTTTGAGACTTGCACTCTATAACTTTTTTTTTCTAAAAATCCTCAAGATGTTCAAAATTTCTTGGAGGGATCTGACGCAGATCACATAAAAATCCTTTCCTCAGGTAATCAACCTAAAAATCTCTGAAGGATATGATTATCTGAATTCTAAAAAGCATGCCAAAAGTCTTTTAACTTCTTATTTGAAAAGAACAGAAGAAATGTGTGGTTTTGCTGTATATCAGTTTTAACTCATAGACTTTTTAGAAGATGATTGACCGGCTTTTTTTTTTCAATTTCACTTGCCAGACAAAAAAAAATACGATGTAATTGTGATTGATCCACCATGGGAGAACAAGTCTGTTAAAAGGAGCAACAGGTAATTTTATAGTAAAATCATACATTGTCATTGTATCTTACAAAGGGTAATTAATATTTTAATGTGCTGACGTAATCCAAGACCAATATAATGTGATACTGCAGCTTAAACTTGCAAACATTTTGGCGTATGCTTACCTTCAAGTCTATGGAATGTCTTAGGGATTTCACTGAAAGGGCTTGGCTGCTTGGCATACAAAATATTTCCAAGAATAGATCTTAAATTACCTGGCCGGTGAGAGATTGTTAGTCTTTGAGAATTTCAAAGAAAGTCTAGTGTCAACTGTTTTGTAAATCCCAGATCACGCAGATATTAATTTCTAATTAATAAGGGTACTTCGCTGGCCATAAAGCTAGATAAATGTGTAAGTAAGTATTTCCAAAACTGAAATCTGATCAGAAGTGTTAGTGGTGGTGTCTATCTTGGTTGCGGGATTTGTTTTTGTTGTTGTTGTGGTTTGTTTTTTTTTTTTAATTTGAGCCTTAGCTTGAGCTTCAGTCTAATGGATAGAAGAAAGTGATAATGCAGCAGTAAAATCCTTGAGTACTGTAGTTTATGAAGTCATTAAATTAAATTTTTATGGGCTTCTTTCACTGCCGAGTAACATCAGACTTATGCCAGTGGAGCCCTCTTGGATTACCTTCATAAGATGGGAGCCCCTATGGATTATTATAAGTTGTATCCATGTGAAAGAAGGTCAGACAGGAAATAGGGCCTTACAACTTTCTAGACTAATAACTACCGTAGCTTTTGAAGCTTTTTATGAAGACATAGTTTGAAAATGCAGAGACTGATTAGTAGGCTTTCCTTTGAAAGCCTTACAGAAACCTATAGACAATGAGTTATTGAACTCATTTCTCAGTGAGAAATTGAACTAATTCAAATGTCTTCTTGACAGTGTATGGTACTCAGAGGAAAATTGCAGTTATTCACAAGCACAAATTAGCCAGCAAGACCCTCTCTCCCTCACAAAATAAAGGCAAAAGGTGCAGGAGCTATCACTGCTCTTAATTACCTTGTTGACAGCTAATAATTTTGAAGCATTTCACATCTGGGTGAATCTTTTTGTCTCTGGACAGTCTAGTCCAGGAGGTATTTTTGATTTTATGTGTGTTTATATTGTTTCTCACTGTTGCATTTCCAGTAGGCAATGTCCTGATATTTTTGATGCTGTAATGTGTAGGTTCCATGAATTACAACTTACTAATAACGTAGAATAGCATCATGAGAGAATGGTGAAACAGGACAGAATCTGGAAAGCTGTATTTACTGATGTAGTGTTCAGTTAGCTCAGGAAAGTGCAGAATGGTTTTGAATAAACTAGAGAATTTCTACCATGACTGGTAATTAAAAAAAAAGTGTAACTTCTGCAAATAACTGGAGAAATTATCTTTTATGACCTCTTAACTTTCCAGTCAAATTAGTGTTGCCCTTGCACTTGCAAATGACTCACTTGTCATTTTCATTCAGAAGAGAGCTTATTATGAGAAGTGAATAATACTGTGTTGCCTAAGAAGATACTTTTAACTAAATGGCTTTGTTCTGTTGTAGAGATGAGAATATTGAATTACATATGATAGTTCTTAAATGAAATATGGGCTTTTAGACTTCATCAGAGTCACAACTCACAAGGCTTTATTTGGGGGAATAGTGGAAATATTTAGTTAAAGGTTCTGCTCAGTAAAACTTAGGTCCACACACTAATGATTTCATATAAAATCTGTCAGCTTTGGCCACTGGGTGTCAGTCTTGAACTATTTTTATGACTTTGGTTGTCAAGAGAGAATTCTTGAAACATCCTGTCCATGTAATTTCTTTATCTATTTGTGTTGCTTTGCAGTTTTTGTATTTGGTGTATGCTAACTTGCTTTCTCACTATATTGCTGTATAGGTACAGCCACTTGTCTTCATGGCAAATCAAGCAGATTCCTGTACCAACACTAGCTGCTCCAAATTGTCTTGTAGTCACATGGGTGACTAATAGACAGAAGCACTTGCATTTTGTTAAGGACGAACTCTATCCTCACTGGTCAGTGAAGACACTTGCTGAGTGGCACTGGGTAAAAGTAAGTTCTTAATTTTGTTTCTTTCTTGCAGACTGAGAGGACTTCCACTATGATACCATATATTCTTATAATTTGTCTATTTACTACTGTGTGCTTCTGTATTTGAAAGGTCTGATATCATCACTATCCTTTCTTTTATAAAAGAAAATGTCTTGGGAAAAAATGAATATTAAAATCTTCCACTGTGTATTTTTAACTCTTTTGTGTCAGATTACTAGGGCTGGAGAATTTGTATTGCCTTTGGATTCTTTGCACAAAAAGCCCTATGAAGTTCTTGTATTGGGGAGAGTTCAAGGAGATGTAAAGGAAGCCTTAAGGTACGTCAGGACAATGGTAAATGTCTTTTTGAGGATATTAAGATCCCCTTTGTATATGTCACTTGTTTATAATACAGTATAATATCCTAAAATCTCGTGGCATCATCTTTTGGCTGATTGTGGACCTAAAGATAGCCTTACTAACTTTGGGATAAGGGTGTGCCTTAGTGAGATTAAAGAATGGAAATCTTTGCCTTTTCCTTACATCTGTCTGTGCTGGGGAACTGACTTGGACAAAATTCTCATGGACAAAGCTTCCTTGCTGACATGTTCTCTTGGACCATGAGTCCTTGACACAGGCTGATGCCATTTTGGGGATGCTGCGGTTTTTCTACTCATGAAGAGATACAAGACTCTTTGTTCTCAATGGCTTTGTGTGGCTGTTCTTAACCAAATTGTGTCTAAAGCCTCAATGAGTTCATAAACTGTCCTTTTATATGTCTGAGCAACTTTTAACTTCCCTTGGACCTACCTGAAGTTTGACTGTGAATGAGCGTTCACAGTCACAGTAACACAGTGAGTGTGTTACCTCTCATCTGAAGTAGCTCTGTGAGAGCTGCAGCGCCACATTGGGTGGCATTCCTTGCTCATACTTCTTTTCTTGTTCTTTATACGACAGGAAATCTGAAGGTGTACTTCCAATTCCAGAACATAAGTTAATTGTCAGCACACCCTGCACTCTGCATTCACATAAACCTCCTCTTACTGGTATGTTTTGGTTTTGTTGCATAATATTTCTGTAATGCAGTGGACTTGGGTATCTCATTCTAGGATGTACCTGGAAGTGCCTTAATTTCCCATATGCAAAGCAATTTTGCTCAACAGAACTTGTGGTTCCTCAACATTTTTAAAAGTGTTGTGGGGTGTGTATGTCTTGGTCTCTAAAAATGAAAGTGAAAACTAGAACTTTCAGCATTATTGTGTGAATATTTTGGGTAGATGTATAAAAAAGTTGCCTTTTTCAAAATTGGTCTATTAAATACTGCACAAACAGTTTACAGATACTTCATATATGAAGTTATGACAAATGATCTAAAATACCTTGTGGGGAGAAAACTTTGGGAATATATAAAATAGGATATCTTCTACTTAGTTAATAAAAGCAGAAAACTCTTCCTTTATTATGTCATCTTGAAGGAAAAGTTTTCATTTCTGCATGAATTGCCTACAATAAAATTATACCTTTAAATCCAAAAATGTAATTATTTTAAGACTGCTAACAATAGGCAATAAATAGGCAGGCCCTGCTTTTTTTCTGAGTAGCTCTATTTAATTTACTGAAATTGATGCAGTAACTTCAGCCAGCCAGTTAATGTGGGTATAAATCCAACTTTTTGGAGTTTGGTCCAAAGAATTTGAAGACTTCCGTGTGATGTGTTGCTACGTTTTGCATGTTGTTCTGGAGCACTCTGACTAATTTTGTCAGTAGGAAGTTGTACTTCTTTCACCTTGCAAGGCTATGGTAAGAAGTGCATTTAATACATTTCACAAAAATGGTTTCATCCTCCCACAGGAGGGAAGGTCATGATGAATCTGCAAATATTCCAGGTGCACATGGTGCTATGTAGTCACATCAGAAAAGGCAGGTAGAAGAAATGTTGAAGGGGAGAGGTGTCACAGTTTGCTTCACTGACATGCTTTCTTTTTTCTGTTCCCAGGGAATAGAACAGCTTCAGTTAGGATGCTGATCTGGAAAATTGTTTTATGTTCAGGGACACTGTAAAATTTATTTTTGGGATCTTGTATTTATTAAATTAACATATATATATATATATATATATATATACCTGTTCAAAAACTGGTGGAAGGGACATACTTCGGTTAGCTAAAAGCAGAAAAGAAGAAAGGCAATTCTAGGAGGATCTTTTTGATTCTGAAGCCACATCTTTAAGAATTAAGACTAGAGGAGGAACTGTATGTGTTGATTTAAGGTAATGAATAGTAGAGTGGTGATTTGTGAGGCTGTCATCTAGGGCCTCTTCAGCAAACCAATACTTAGCAGCGAACTCAGACACAAACAGGAAACTTGTGAGATACTGAGGGTGCAGAACAACTGTTTGTGTATATTGCTGGAAATTCTAGTGCCGGAATAGTCCGTGGAACAATTCTTTTGTAGGGCAGAATCTAGAAACTGTATTTGGGATTCCTTTATAAATTATGATCCTGAATGGATTTTAAAAGAAACTGTTTGTGCTAATTTTTTTGTGTTTCTCGAGGATTTTACTTGAATGCTGGGATTTGATAGTATTGTGCAGCATTTATATTTCTCTCTGAAAAAATAAATTTGCTGTGGAGCAAATATCAATGATTTACAAGGTTTCTATAAAAATCCACGTGTATCCTACCTTTTTTGACATCTCCATTCAGAATACAGTTATGTAATGAAAAGGTAGACCATAAGGCAAAAGCTAATTGCTGATGCTTTGACTTCAGTGCTGTGCCAGGTGTTGCTTTTACGACTGGACAATACTCTCGAGCGGCCAGTAGAGAGCAGCTAAGCTACATCCTAGAGGGTTTCAGAAGAAATTTGAACAGGAGCAGAGATTTGGCAAGGGGCGAGAAGGACACTTGATGAGTCACACGCATTCTTTATGCTTTGTTTAAGTGGTAACAAAGCCAAAAATATTAGTATTTACTGGTGGTGTCTGGCACTTTGCTTCTTATTACAACAATAAGGGTTGTATGTTGGTGCATATGTAACCACTTAATGACTGATTATAACAGTTTATCTCTCCTGGGGGAAGAGAAAGATGTAAATTAAAGTAAGCCGTCAAAAAGACGTGTTTGTGCTCCTACAGTGCATTTAACCATGAAATTGCAACTGTAGGGGTTTTTGGTGATGCATGTGCTGTGTTCAATGCTTAGAGCTTTAATATGTCATTGTAAATGTACTTAAGCTGCTTTATGCAAATGTGTTAAAATCAAATTTTATTACTCCAGGTTTCGATTCAAATAACAGCAGGTTTTCTTCCTAATTCAATTCAGTGTTGCTCTTACAAGGCATAAAAGACATTCTGTTACACAGATGGATGAAGTTCTACATAACTTCACATCACCTTTTTTCCTTTTCCTATATTATAGGTTGTTCTTGTTACAGCCATTTCTCCTTCAGTTTTTAAGTACGTACATATGTTGTTAGAAAATTATATTGTCATACAGGAGTGTGTCTAAAAACTCTGGAAATAATTCTTGGCTGTGTTCTAGCCACTCTGCATATCCTCAGCAGAACAATGCAATGGGAAGTCATGGAAACTCCCTCCTCTCATAGCAAGCCTGGCTTGTTAGGCTGTGTTACAAAAGTTTCCTTGGAACTAAAAAGAAATAAATACCTTTTGTTTCCTTATGTGCCTTGTGAGCCCTTACTGTTAAACTAATTGATAGGTGCATCAACATCTGAGTTTAACTTGAAGCTTAGGAGAGATGCAGATGTGTGAAACCATCTTTGTGCTGAGTTTCAGATCTCTTTCTGGTGTTACTCTGTTCAGGGGTTAGACAAACTGGGCCGTAAGAACCTCTGCATTGCCAACTCTCTCGAAGGGTTATTCTAAAATGAGCTCAGCTGTGTGCTTTGTGCTTTGCATGGTTCACTGATGAGGCAGTGAAAAGCTGAGAGTCATTTTCACCTTATGTATGCAATTCGTCAGGGCAGAACTTGCCTTTTAGGCAGTGGAAGTCCAAAACATAAGGGGAAACTGTTGCTTGTTTCAAAAATCATTCCTCTTTTTTCTTATTTAAACGTTTTTAGCAGCATGCATCTTCAATACATGTTTGGGATTAAGAGTAAGCAGGTATGGCAGGTGTCTGCTGGATTGCACTTCGGAATGAAGAGGGTTTTCTGGAAGACCAGTGTTATGTCTACCAGCTAGCTTTGTGCTAGCATCATGTCATGCCCAAATATAAGTGCCTGAGTTGCTGTCATAGTGTTTGTGACACCTGTAAGTGATAAAGAATAGGCTGTTTATCATTTATTTGAGCTGTTTCTTGTCAGTGGTATCTGTAAGTGGATAGAAGTAATTGTGTGGTGGATTTTGGTTTTCAATTTATTTTTGTGGTAGAAGAACTTAATATTTAATCTTTCTGCTGATGTAGCTCCTCTAACCTGTTTTCAGAGATAAAAAACTCCGGTGTTTGCTTGAGGGCTGCAAGTCAAATGCCTATGTGTTAAGCTAGCCTTCCAGTCTTAAAAAGGTCTAACAAAAAAGCCATAATTTGTAACTTGAACACTGACTTTTCTTATTTTAAGGAAACCAATGTAATGTGATTTTAAGCCAACAAAATGGAGCCCTCTTGATATGGTAATTTTCACTGCAGTGCAAGTTACTGCCTGATGTGATTATGTAAATGCCTACAACCTAGCAATGAAAAATCATACTATAATGTGATCTCGAATTATATGTAATATGTCTCTCTTTTTTTAAAAAAAGCCTCTAACTTTAAAAAGATCCTCTCACTGGCAGAAGGAGAGGGGGAGATTCCTGGGACTTCCTTTTTAAATTCTATAACCAAATTGATAGAAGTACCGTGATATACCTCCTGCTTCTGCTGAACTGATCAGGTTTTTTTGGCTACGTGCTTTTTGCTGAACCAGTCTCTGAAGTTGGTTGAATCTCCGATGGGTGCTTTTCAAATTTGTCCTTTTAGGCATGGAAGTTTTTGGTGCTTGTTAAAACTGCTCTTGATTGCTGAACTTAGTGCTGTGATATTTTTTAACCTATACATTTTAAGATCTACCACCCCTGTTCCAGTGTTTCAGCACCCTCGTTGTAAACAATTTCTTCCTTATATCTAGTCTGAATCAATCCTATTTTAGTTTAAAACCATTACCCCTTGTCCTATTGCTGCAGGCCCTGTTAAAAAGTTTGTCCACATCTTTCTTAGAGGCCCCCTTTAAGCATTGAAAGGCCACAATAAGGTCTCCCCAGAGCCTTCTCTTCTCCAGGATGAACAACCCCAACTCTTTCAGCTTGTCCTCCTAGCAGAGGTGCTTGAGCCCTCTCATCATGTTGACAGCAAATGATGCACAAGAAATCTTTATCTAAGTGGAGCTGGAAGAAGAACAGTAAACTTTACCACTTTTTTTCTTCTATTATGGTGGGTTTGCAAGATGGTATAAAAACAGCTACTCATAAGTCGTGTCTAATTAGATGAACTCCCATGACACCAAACAGTGCAGCAAGTTTTCTGTCAGAATGTACATTTTCCTCTAAACTTCCCAGACTTCTCTGCAAATGTTAGATTTGTTTAGGCATTTTAACTTGTCTCTAAAAGAAGCAGGTTTTTGGAATAAGATTCCTGCTGATAGCAGTGTTTTTTAGGTTAAAGCTGCCTTGATGATAACCCATCTGAGACATTCATGTGACATTTGTTAAAGATTGGGAGAAGAAGAGATTTTTGTGCTAAGCCAAAATACAAGAAAGCCTGGAAACACCCATTACAGAATATTTACAAAAAGGTTTTGAATATATTAAAGCTTTTTAAGAGGTGATCATATAGGTAGGAAATGCATCTGGCCCAGGCTAAAAATAGAAACCAAAGTAGATGTTCATCTTTTCTGCAGCAGGAGCAATCCATGATCTGATCAGCTGGGGTCTCACACAGGCAGTATGTGACAGTCAGACTTCCTACAAAGAGTCAGAACTTGGATTGCACCAAATAAACCAAGAAAAAGCATTCCCTCTCATACTTTGGTGTATGCTGATTGGATGTGTATGCTGGTATGATCTGCAGTGATCATACCTGAAGAGACTGAATCAAGCAGCATACTGTTGGATTAATGAGTTGTATTTTTAAGTGACAGAGATTCAGAAATCGCTGGGAGATCTAATAAAAAAACCACCAAAGTATCCTTTGGAAATGTTTTCATAACTTTTCTTCTTTTGTCTTCAGTAACAAAACCAAAAACTTAAAAACCTTACCTATACTAAAAATTATATGTTAAGATTTTTTTGGTCTTTCTGCCTTTTCTGTGTTCTGTACTCCTTAAACCTTTGCTTTTCTCATGCATATTTTTATATGCAATAACTTTGTGAAACCTAGTTAAGGATTTGTTTGAACCAGCCACAGACTAAGTGGCTTTGTATGACACGTAAAACATTTAGCAATAAACTCTTTGCAGTAATACTTTTCAAGCAAAATGCAGGATCTTTTTCTGTCACTCCAACAATGCCATTCATAATCCATGACATTTACATCATTAATGTTAATGACAGGCATCTATTTATTTGGATTTAAGCAGTAAAAATGCCCAACTGTAAAAGAAATATGAGATTTATGTTACTGAATAAAAGAACAGAGGTATATAAATATCTCTTCTGTTGCCAAGTTGGTATTGGAGGAAAAGTAGTGCTTGCTTTTTTATAGCCCTTTAGTGCTGTGCTTATTTAACTGGTGCCTCTTATTTTACCTCTTAACAGTCATCACAAAAATGCTTTTATCCCCTTTAAGGTGCAAAGGAAAAGAGTGTGATCTTAATTAAGAAAAGGGGTTATTTATTTATTTATTTATTTTTAGAAATGTTACCCCTGTGTTATAGGAGCTAAGTTAGTCTTTAGGAGCTGTTTGTTGATATTAGTAAAAAATTCAGAACTCGTCTATGTAGAGGCTGAAATAAATCCTCATTCCCTTTCTCTAAATGAAAACCAATAAATCAAGGCTATTGAAGGCCTTGACAGTATTGTTCAGAATCTCAAGGGCACTTACTTAAAATTACTTTCTCACTATAAATAGTCCAGCTGTTTGATGAAACCCCTGAAATTAATTTGCTGTCTGTCCCTTTTTTTAATGAAACATTCATTTTTTCATCCACTAGCATCACAGGGGAGGTTTTATGTGTTTACTATTGTTATTTGTACCATTGTCACTGTTGCTTTCTTTTTTTTTTTTTTTCTCTTACACAGCAGTTCTGGCAGAGTTTATCAAACCAGATGTGGAATGCTTGGAGCTGTTTGCTCGCAACCTGCAGCCTGGCTGGACCAGCTGGGGAAACGAGGTCCTGAAGTTTCAGCACATTGATTATTTCACTCTTTTGCAGAAGGAAAACTGAACTGGGCCTTACACATCTATATCTTCTGAAATTCTGTGCCTTTCCAGGGTGAATTTTATTCTGATGGTTATTACTGATGGTTCACTTAAAGGTGACAGAAATAAAACCAATCGCATTTCAATTACTCAAAATAAGTAAATAATGTAACACTGAAAGTAGTTACCAGGGAAAATATTTCTCGCTGCATGATTTTATTTAGTCTGCGTTTTAAACTGTCAGTACCTAATTCTTGAGGTGACAGGATATCTGTTTAATGATATCTCCATTTGTATGTGGTGGTCCTTATTTTGATGACCTGAAAATATTTAAATACTGATGTTGGAATGCAAGTTCATTCCCATTTTTTTTTTCAAACCTCAAGGAAAAGATTCTTAAAGTATTCTCACTGCAGATATTAAATCTGAGCTAATAACACGTCACAAGTGCTATATTGTAGCACTTGTATTATTTTTAAAGAATGACAATGACTCTTTAAGGAGTGTCAGTGGGAGTAAAGAGTTCTGAATTATGCATGTTTTCTTAAAGAAGACTGTTTTTTTGCAAAACAATGGATTTTGAACTAAAATAGTTACGAAGGCAGCGTATCCTCCCACATGTTTGTATCTGTCTGTCTATCTCAGAAGAAATAAAAGGAGCAGTGCTTGTGTTAATTGGCACATGAATTTTTGGCTGACCACATTCTATGTAAAATTATACTTTTACAACTGCTGGCAATTATATCTTTCTGTATATAGTGTTAATTTTTGAACACATTGTAAATGATCGGTCTCAATGTCTTATGAATTCTGACCTTTTAACAGATTATATGTATTTTTAAAATTATCCTTCCTTATGTTCTTGGAACATTAAAAAGCCACGCCAGTGAGCTGTATTTTTCAGCTAACATAAAGATGACCCTTCTTTTTTTTTTTTTTGTTTTTGTTAAAAGAATGATACACTTTGTGTGTCCTTTGCTGTGCTTAGATTTGTTTAGAAAAATAAAAAAGAAAATGTAATGAAGCCTCTGTCGTTGACTCATTTGCAGCACTAGAGGCTGAAGTGCTGGACTACCTGACTTTCCTGATGGCAAGCTCCTGAGTCCTGACTGTTTATAATGGGGAACAAAATGCATTGTATACCTTCTTTACCTTAATTTTCCTTTTGCTAGTCTGATGACCTGTGAAGACTTTTTTGAATTTAACTTTAAATGTTATGAAATTATTTTTTGTTAATTTTGTAATAAAAATGAAGATAAAACCTTGTGTGTTATTTGCAGACCCAGTTCCTATATTACTGTTCAATTTTATGTTTTGTCTGTTGGACCAGTGGAGTTAACAAAGCAAGGGAAAAGCTTTTTTTCCCCCTCCCTCCCCCAGCAGTTAAACATATACTCGAAATAAGTAAATAATGTAACACTGAAAGTAGTTACCACGGAAAACATTTCTTGCTGCATGATTTTATTTAGTCTGCGTTTTAAACTGTCAGTACCTAAGCAACCTTAGCTACAGCTGGAAGGGATAGAAAGTTATTTATTTGCTTTCAGTTTTACAAGGTCTTCCCTACCTGCAGATTCTGCAATCCCAGCCAGAATTCCCTTGCCCTCCCAAGGTGGTCTAATCTAATACTAAATGAGTGTATGAGACTCACAACTGTTGCAGGTGTATTGTTTTCCCTTTGTACTCTATAAACAGCACAAGAAATGACAGTATTGTCTGTTCCACATCTGCTGCTATGAATGACTCTAGATTATCTTTTAATTGCAATCAGAGGAAAGAGATCAACAATCTTAGAGATCAGGAAACTCCCTTTCTCCTTGCAGCTATGCAGCAGAACCCTATTAAGGGAATTACCTTCTTCAAGCTGTTTAAAAATCGATCATCTTATTAATATGTCCTTTTTGTGGAGTCCCTTTGCAAATTGTGGCTTTCTGGAATCAGTAAGGTTGGAAAAGACCTCTGAGATCATGGAGTCCAACTCAACCTGGTGTCCCTGTGTTCACTACTAAACTAGAAGCTGAGCATCTAATTCCAGTAACTGGGCATTCAGCCTCCCAGGTATGATTTGTATGTAGAGGACTTGTGCAGCCAGACTCTGAGCTTCTCAGACTGTAAGTCAAAAGCTGAAGATTGGAGTTTAAGTCATACCAAGTCCTGTCATAAACAGTTACAAAATTGTGCCTCAGACAACTGCTCTGCTGCTTTTCCACTGCTCTGCCTATGAAGAAGACCTTGTGAATAGGACAGAAGTGGTATTCTTACATCTGCAGCCAACCTGAAACCATTGCATTTTCTCAGGAGGAGAAAGTCTATTGCTAACTTGGAAATCTCATGGTGGTATTAGCAGTTGATAGTTTTGGGGTCATCTTTTAAACATTATTATGGGCCTATTGTGCTTAATTCATAATTTAAGTAGCCTCTTACACTTTTCCAGCTGTCCAAAACCCCAGCCGTTCCTAACCAGCCATGAGATCTTTCAGTGTCTGTGGAATGATTCCTCTGAGGCAGAATCTGTAGCATCCTGAAAAAGTGAGTGAAGCCAGCTAATATGACAGGAAAATGTAAGATCCAATTTTCTTTTATAAAATGTTATCTACAATAATAATATCTGTAATATTCTAACATAGATAATATTATTACTTTATTCCACTTCAGTGGTGGAAAGATGCCCTCTGTTGTGTCAAGCCTTGTATAAAAAAACCTGCTCTGAAGAATTTACAAAGTTGGTAAGAAATGAAAGAACAGGGGAGAAGATAGGGATGTGGGAATACAGGACAGTAATGAGATGTTTGTGATAAGTAGCAGCCTAGGTATTCTGTACTTCTTAGGTGTTCCTAAAAATTACAGGGTTTTCCCCCCTATTTTAAGAGAGATTTTCTGCTTTTCTATTCTGGTGTCACATATTCCAAGAAAAATAGGTGAAGTGTGTATTTTACTAACAACATTGATGAAATAGAAGTTTTTTTCATCTGTAAATTCTTTTTGTGGCAGCTTGGTGAAGTTGCAACTGCAATTGCTCAAGAATTTTCAGAAAGTATGTTATTTGGTACATCTGTTGTTATTTTAGCAGGACAATGATAGAAGTTGCTTTGGCTAGGTGTTCTCCACTATTTAAAGCCTTTTAAAATTATGTCTTACTGCAAAAGAATCTCAGTTCATAATGCAAAAAGAAGTGATTTTAAGCTGCTCCTATATGTAGAGTACATCAAGTGTCATAATCAAACTTACTTTTATGAAGCTTCAGGTTTGAGTGTGATTTTGAAATGTCAAATTAGCATATGACCTTTACTTGTATTTTTAAACTTCTGTGAAGTAAAAAGAATTATACCAGTAAGATATGTTTTTGGAATAGTAATTGCTAGGCGTGAACTCCCATGGAATAGTGATTTCTAGGCATGAACTCCTGTGGAAACAACAAAATTTCTTTTGTAAGAGTAAACATTATTAAAAAAGTGAAGTAAGTGAGTAGCTCTTACCTCTTTATAGCATTCAGCTTGGATAGGTGTCAGCAGCAGTAAATAGTTGACTTTGAAAATAGATTTCCAAACTGCATAAACAAGTATAAAATTATGGGAGATAAATGCTACTATGCCTTGAGAATCTTGTTCATTAACCTCAACAGGCTATTTAAGACTTAGCTAATGCTTATTTGGTTTGGACATAACAGAAAGGGAATGGAAGGCTAGAAAATAGCCAAGGGATGAGGAATGGTCAAGTTGCTGAAAGAAGTCTTGTGGTGTCCCACCTGTCACATATTTTCATAGAATCAGAGAATAGTTTGATTTGGAAGGAACCTTTACAGGTCATCTAGTCCAACCCGCCTGCAGTGAGCAGGGACATGTTCAACTTGATCAGGTTGCTCAGAGCCCCATCAAACCTGACCTTGAATGTATCCAGGGATGAGACATCTACCACCTCTCTTGGCAACTTGTTCCCGTGTTTCACCACCCTCATTGTAAAAAGTTTGTTCCTTGTATCTAGTCTAAATCTACACTCTTTTAGTTTAAAGCCTTTACATCTTGTCCTGTTGCAACAGGTCCTGCTAAAAAAGTCTGTACCCATCTTTTTTTGTAAGGATCCTCTATGTACTGCAAGGCTGCAGTAAGGTCTCCCTAGAGCCTTCTCTCCTCCGGGTTGAGCAACCCCAGCTCTCTCAGCCTTTCCTCACAGGAGAGATGGTCCATCCTGATTATCTTTGTGGCCCTCTTCTGGACTCATTCCAACAGGTCCATGTCTTTCCTGTGCTGGGGACCCCAGAGCTGGACACAGCACTCCAGGCAGGGTCTCACGAGAGCAGAGTAGAGGGGGAGAATGGACCTGCTGGCCATGCTTCTTCTGGTGCAGCCCAAGATGTGATTGTCCATCTGGGCTTCAAAAAGACATTGTTGAGTCATGCTCAGCCTCTCATCCACCAGCACCCCCAAGTCCTTCTTGGCAGGGCTGCTCTTGATCTGTTCATCCCCAGCCTGTATTGTTGCTGGGGATCGCCCTAGCCCAGGTGCAGCATCTTGCACTTAGCCTTGTTGAATCTCACGAGGGTCCCATGGGCCCAATTCTTGAGCTTTTCCACATCCCTGTGGATGGCATCACATCCATTGGGCATGTCAACCACACCACACAGCTTGGTGTTGCTGCAAACTTGTGGAGGGTGCACTCAATCCCACTGTAGGTGTCAGTAATGAAGATATTAAACAGTGCTATTAAACATTTTCTGAGTGATCTGACAGTCTAGTGGATCTTGCTTGACTTTACAATTTTTGCCACAGTAACATATTTAGGTTGTAATGACTAGGAGTATCCTAGTGCTGCAGCACATTGCTGTCCCATACTTTTCAGTTCCCACCTGTGTGGGGCTTGCTTTTTGCAGAGAACATAGCTATGGAAAGGAGCTGCTGTTTCACAGAGCCAATGTCTAAACTGCAAGACCTAAAAAATGTTTCTGTGACCCAGCTGTGTGCCTTGGATACACCCTGACTCTGTGGGGAAGACTCCCAGGATCAGGAGTCCCACAGTGCTTTGGTCAGGGCTAGTATCAGTAATAAATGTGCATTCTGTGACCGCTGTGAATCAAGGGCTCTGCTGTTACAGTAAAAGCCATCATAAAATCCCTTCCCTAAAATGATGAAGTATTTTCCATTAGTGGTAACTGAATGCTGATGTTATTTCAGGAATAGCGTGATGTTAGAAAAAAAAAAAACAGGAAGAGAAGCTGGTAGGTGTAGCTAAGCCACTACCCATACAACAAGGGCATGGCCTTTGTCTTGTTAGGGACGTGTCTTCCTTTGGGACAAAATCTGCTTTACTGCATTGACAAAGCTTGGACCCACAGATCACCATGCTGGGATGAGTGGAGATTTTGGTTGTCAGAAGCAACTTGCATGGACCAGTCTAACTAGAGACGTTTGAGAGAGGATGCTCCTGAAAGACAGTGCTCCTAAACTGGGTCTTACAAGTTGTTCCTAAGGAGAGAAGGGAGCTTCATGCAGAACAGTACAATGGAAATGTTGCCCAGAAAGCTGTTTCTGTGGCTCAACCACAAGTGCTCTTTGCTGTTGGAGAAGGCACCTTGGGTACTCCAAACTAAATGGTTATGATCTGAGAACAGGTACAATCTATTTGTGGCCTGGTGGTCAGATGTGGGGAGGGCGTGGCAGCAGCTAATAACTCTACAGTCTGCTTTGAGAGAGGAGCTGCTCAGACAGCGCTGGGAGAGTGACTGGTCTGACTATGCTGTAGAGAGAATTGTGTATGTGCATCTGCATGTGCATGCAAAGCTGATCTGTTGAATTGGTGTGAATCAGCGTTATACAGTCCTTTGAATAATGAAATGTGCACTGCTAGAAATATCATATTTTTACTTGTTATTGTCCTAATGTTACTAATTTATGGGGGAAGGGTACTTATTATTTGTTTGGAGATGCCCCAATAACATACATGATTTAAAAGCTTGCCTGGGGACTGCATGATAGATATATTTTTGTTTTGTGTTTCTCTGAAAGCATAACATTGTCACTGATAAG